AACAGGCTCCCTGGTTCCCTGGATTTTATTTTAATTCTGTGCATGTTCGAATTTTCATAATGAAAAACAGAAGCCCCAAAGGGTGTTACATTTAGGATCTTTTTTTTTTTTTTTAAAGATTTTATTTATTTTATTTTATTTATTTATTTGAGAGAGAGAGAATGAGAGACAGAGAGCATGAGAGGGAGGAGGGTCAGAGGGAGAAGCAGACTCCCTGCCGAGCAGGGAGCCTGATGCGGGACCCGATCCCGGGACTCCAGGATCATGACCTGAGCCGAAGGCAGTCGCTTAACCAACTGAGCCACCCAGGCGCCCTACATTTAGGATCTTAAGGCCTTGGCCCTTGCCTTGGTGACATTTGATTTCCTTTGAGAATATCAAAAGCTATTTTGATAACCAGACAAGTAAAGCCTTAATAGATGGGCTGAAGAGTCGTGAGCAGAGGAAATAAATTTGTATTTCTTGTTTTGCTTGGAAAACATAATAAAAGGAGTCAAGGAGAAAATGTGCCTGAGGGTTGAAAACTCCTCTCTCCCAAGAGCAGCCAACGTACTTGAACTCATGTAGAGCCTTGTGCCCCCAGTCCCTGTTCCTCCAGCCTAGCAGAGCAAGGACGTGGGGGATGGAGAGGAAGATACTCTCTTATCACTGTCACCTTCTCAATCCTCTGATTCTCCCATAAGACTACAAAATCTGAGAGGACAGGGCTCTGTCTGAGGCTTTGACTGTTATGCCCAGGGCAGATTGTCCAACAAATGTCACTGAGCCCCTTTCCTGGCCCAAGTTTTGTTCTGGGCACTGGGGTTAGCGTCCACTGGGAATGGAGAAGACTCAGTCCTGCTCTCCGGGACAGTCAGCAAACAGTTGCCTGGAGCATACCAGGGGTGATAAATGCTCTACAAGAAAACAGAACCGGAGGTAGGACAGAGAATAGGGGAGGAGGTGGGAAAGTGCTCTTTTAGACAGATGGTCAGCAAAGGCCTCCCCCGACCTCCAGACCCCGATCTCCATCTCCACTTCGATATCCAGCAGGCATCTCAAACTTTGCAAGTCCTTTGCTGATTTTACCCCAAACCCGTTCTTTCTGCCGTCTCCCCTTCTCTGTCAATGGCAACTCGGTTTTCCCAGTTGCTCAAGTTACAGAGCTGACATCATCCGTCCTGCGTTCAAAACTCCTGTTCAGTTCAGCCAGAAACCATGTTGCTTCTATCTTCCAGATGCCCCGAGTCCCACCCCTTCTTTCTACCTCTTCCACTGCCACCTTGGTCCCAGTCGCCACCACCACCCGCTTGGGCTTCACCCTGGCTCTTCGCCTGTCTCTGTGTTCTGTCCTCGCACCTTCCAGAGCTTTCAGCCTTAAGTCGGAGCAGACCCTCCCTTGGTCCTCATCGCACTTGGACTGAAAGTATAGGGGCCCGCAGGCTCCTCCCTTCTGGTCTCAATTCCTATTTTTCCTCCTTGCTCACTGTCAACCACGCCGGCCTCCTTGCTGTACCTTAACCATACCGAGCACACTCCTGCATGAAGAGCTCTTTTCTAGGAGTGCCTGGGTGGCTCAGTTGGTTAAGCATCTGCCTGGGGCTCAGGTCATGATCCCGGTGTCCTGGGATGGAGGCCCGCATCAGGCTCCCTGTTCAGCGGGGAGCCTGCTTCTCCCTCTCCCTCTGCTCCTCCCCCACTTGCGCTCTCTCTCTCAAATCAATCAATCAATCAATCAATAAAATCTTTAAAAAAAAAAGAGCACTTTTCTCAGGGGTCTCCCATATTCCTCCAAGCCTCTGCTCAAACATGGTCTGCCTGGAGAGGCCTTCCCCTGACGACTCTTCATAAATAAGAAAGGGACAGGTAGGGATTCGTACCCACACTCGTCTGACCCCAAAGACCACGGTCTTCACTGCTACAACTCCCTGGCCTTTCTGCCACAAGCGTACGGAAGATGTGGGTGGAGAGCTTTCCTTGAGCGGGCACCAAAGCCTGGGATGCTCAAACGGTCACGAGGCATTCAGAGGTCGGCAAGCAGTCAAGTAGGTGGGGATAGATGGGAGAGGAGTGGAAACACCACTAGAAGGGGCCAGAGTACATAGGGTCTTGGGACCCAGAACAAAGAAGGAGTGTGGATTTTATGTGATGCTCATCACAGATTTCTGAGTAGGAAAGCGATATACAGAGTTTTAAAGAAAGATGAATGTGGCAGCTTAAAAATATGTCCATAAATTTCTCCAACAGACACACCTCTCTTTAAAGGGGGAAGCCTGATGTCCCTCCCCTTGACGGTGGGCTGGACTCAGTGCCATACTTGTAACAAATGGCAGAGGTGTGTGATTTCCCGGGCTTGGCTGCCTCTACCTTGCTCAGGGTGCACGGTTTTCTGCCCACGTTTGTGTGTTTCCAAGCTGTCTGTCTGGATTCCTCTTCTCCCAACGCTCACTCGAGACTCCTGCACACCCTCCAGCCTGCACTCCTCTGTCCCCTGCTGTGCCCCAGGCCCTGCCTCAGCCAGAGCCCTTGCTGTGCTTCTCACGGCTCTTGTCAACCCTTGTCCCTCGTCTGTCTCGTGCTCTACTGTGCGTTGGCATCGTGAATGAAATCTGTCCTGCGATCTTGACCCCATGGCTGGCTTTCTGCTGGTCTTGACCTCTCGTTTTTGATGCATGCCTGGCCCCCCAGGCTTCTTACCCACCAGGTGCCCCCAGCTCACTCCTCGGGCTGTTTTCTTTACCTCTTGGCCCACCAGTGCTGCTGAACTAGCAACAGCGTTAGCTCTACCCAGGGACGTCCAGACACCCGCTCGTCACGACCTTGTTCAGGCAGGCGAATCTTAGCTTTGTATTGTTCTCCTCTTCTCCAAATCAGAAAGGGTGTCTTTAAAAAATTTTCACTTTTGGACTAATGCAAAGTCCAAAAGTCTCTTAGCTAGAAAACAGCTGAGTCACTCTGCAGTTATCTATGTAATACACTAGTGTGTACTATTTGAGTATTTGTTACAATGCGTACTATTTAAAGTACTTACATGCCTTTTTTGATTTCATCCTCACAACCACACCCATGGTGATAGTAAATAGTAATTTTCCCATTTTAGGACTAAGGAATGAATCAACTTTTTAATAAGAGCCTGGGTGGCTCAGTCGGTTAAGTGTCTGCCTTCAGCTCAGGTCATGATCTCGGGGTCCTGGGATCGAGTACTGTGTTGGGCTCCTTGCTCAGTGGGGAGTCTGCTTCTCCCTCTCTCCACTCATGCTCTCTCTGTGTCTCTCTCAAATAAATAAATAAATAAATAAAATCTTTAAAAAGAGTCTTATTATTGGCCAACCCCTCTGACATTTTTTTCCCTTGATTTAAAAATAACTACTAAATGGAGCACCTGGGTAGCTCATTGGGTTGAGCATCCGACTCTTGATTCTAGCTCAGGTCAGGATCTCAGGGTTGTGGGATCAAGCCCCATGTTGAGCTCGGCACTGGGCATGGAGTCTGGTGGAGATTCTCTCCCTCTGCCCATACCCCCTCATGCAAGTGCGTGCGTTCTCTCTCTCTCAATTCATAAATAAATAAATAAAATCTTAAAAAAATAAAAAATATAAAAATAACTACTTAAATATTCAATAGTTGTGCTATGGACTGAATTGTGTCTCTGAAGAATTCATATGTTGAAGCCCTACCCCCTAATGGGACCGTATTTGGAGAGGGCCTCTGAGGAGGTAATGGAGGTTAAATGGAGTTATACAGTGGGGCCCTGATAAATCGGATTCGTGTCCTTATTGGACACCCGAGTGAACACACAGGGAAATGGCAGCCACCTATAAGGCAGGAAGAGAGGCCTTGCTGGAAACCCACCACCCAGACACCCTGAGCTTGGACTTCCAGCTTCCAGAATTATGAGGACGTAGATGTCTGCTGTTTGAGCTACCCAGGCTATGGTATTTTGTTGTGGCAGCCTGAACTATGACAAGTTGTAACCTTCAATAATGAGTAATTTTGAGCATTTCGAAAGAAAAGTGACTCTCTGGGATAAAGTTTGGTTCTGTTTTCCTAATTTGTAACAGTCCTATGATATCATCGCTCTTAGACGGGAACCACATTTTTCTTAGGGTTGGACTTCGGATGAGTTTGCTTCCAAAGCACTCTGGTTTCCAATAGTTACTTTATTCCCCAGCCCTGCTACAGGGAAACGGGGTAACCAATTGTGTAATGATTACTTAACAACTGAAAAGTGTCCCACACCTTCTCCTCTTGTCTAATCCACTTTTCACGAAAAGCAACAAGTAAGGGATAATCCTTTTCCCTACAATTGAGCAGCTAGTTAATGATGTCCTTGGTAGTGGAGGTTCTTGGAAGGGGGAAGAATGTGCATGTGTGTGTGTGTGGGGGGGGGTGTGTGTGGTAAGTGCAGGGGTCTTCAAGGGCCAAGACCATTGAGACCCTCACAAGTTCTGTCATGTCTTGCAACGTCTCATTCGAGCCCCACTTCTTGAGCTTGGGTGGCTTCCTAACCCTTGAATTTCTACAAATTTTTTTTTTT